AGATCGTAATGTTATCTGATGGAAACTGGAGTTTTTCTCAGAAAACCTAAAGAACATATCAGAAAATTCTGGACAAAAATATATCGATTTTCTTTTTCGATGTTCTATCTTTGATATAAATTTCGCCTTGATCAAACATCGGCTTCTCTAGTTTTCAAGAGGGTCAAAAAAAGAGACAGGGAGGGTACCCTTAAGGTTTTTATGTATGATTAATTTTGATCATGCCTTTTGAACATGGTGTTAAATTATATATTGTTGCCTATATAACAGTGATGTAGTGTCATATACCTACCAGATTAACTGCAATTTTCTGATTCACATTTTTGAACATGATCAGAATTAATCATGATTAGTTTAAGCGTGATTGACGGTGCCGTATAAATGTAGTATAGGTCATTCAAGTATTAATGAAAATGTAAATAAAGAAATTATTGCCACTTTTTGGGATTATAGACATTATACTGATAGATTTGAACGAGAAAAGAATAATGAAAGTAGATGATGGTCTCAACATTTACATTCTAAGTGGAATAACATATATTTCTTTATTGATCGTTACAATCTATAATAGATATTGCTAATTATTCGTTAATTTGTATTTTTACAATGGACAACTGTTCACTCTTGCTGAACAAATATTCCTTGAATGAATTAGATAACTGTTTCCTGAATCTTCTGTTTTTGTCTCATTACTCTCTCTTTCTCTCTTTATCGTATTTCTTCGATATTTTGTTCAAATGTTGATAAGATTAGTTCTATGTGGGGAAAGTGTACAAGACATTATTTTATAATGCAATGTTTTGATACTGTTGCCAATGTTACCTTTTCAATTATTTTTTAATGGTATAATTTTGTATTTGATACTAAATTTGAAATGGGCTTCAATGGTCGATTTAAACGTCATGGATTACAAACGTAAGCTTTACAATACTAGCATTAATACTGCCATTTTGAGCGTTTGTTTTACCACTTACTTTTTCTGTTCTATAATGATGTCTATTTTGCTATATTTTAAAAGAAATCTTTTAATTAAATGTTATATCAATGTATGAATTGTTGTTATTTCTCTAATTAGCATCTTCTTCTAAATTTTATTCAAGACATTCGTCTTATTTGTTTAGATTTCAGAGAAAAAATCAATGATAGTAAAAAACAATTATTTGAAATAAAATCTGCCAAAATCTCTTCTGATCATCAATTAACTATTTTTAAACGTCCAATTCAAAGTAGACATGAAATACATAAAAATTATACGCATCTAGATATTCAGAATGAAACACAATTGATTTATGTTGTGTCTAATGATGAAAAAGAAGAAGAAGAAGAAGAAGATAAATCATTTGAATTAAATCGTCAATTACAATTATCTACACAAAAATATTTAATTGGTATTAGCAGTGTTAGTGCTGGTACGGCTCTAGTTCTAATTACATTTATCGTACCTATTCTTGTTATTATTCGAAGATCAGATGAAAGACGTCTTCAACGTCCATTAAACCGACGACGATCTCGTATAAATTCATTACAATTACAACATTTAAGAATTCATGAATTTTTATAATAAAGTTTAGTATTTTAATATATCATTCAATTAAAATTAATTATGTAGTTTATAGTAAGAAATCTAATTTCAGAATATATAATTTGATTGTAATTTCAAATATTTATCTGTTATTTTGGGTCATCATGAATTGCATAAAGAAAAGATGACAAACTATTATTTGTTAATACTTTTTATATTCTAACACTAGATGATTATTTACACTTGAAGCATTTATTCTTTTCTCTCGATAAGAATTTTTCTCTTATGAAAGTTTTTAAACATCTCACTCTTTAGAGAGAACACAGTTTTAATCGTAATTATTACAGATTGTTATAGTCTTTGATAAAATTTAAATTTAATGTTTAATATTTTTAATTATGTGTTATATTAGTAATACGAGGTTATACATATTTTAGGATGTTTGAACTATTCGTTTTATTATCTCTAAACTCTGCATTGTCTTATTTTGAATAAAAGATTTTATACAAATATTATTTAAACTAAAAGTTTAAAGAATAGTTTTTCTTTTGTCAAATTATCTGTTTATAAATTATTTGTTTTGTTTTATTCATTTCTATGCGATATATGTCTCGGTTTTAGGTCATAAAATAATTATGAAGTGTATCTCAGGATATATAATATTATTAATATCTTACGTCTATTTTGCAAATGCATTACCATTTTTCTTTCATGGACGTCCTCGTGGTGGTATGCTTGGTTCGCCAAAAGTAAGCAAACTTTCAAGTTTAAAAATAGATCCAAAAGATGAACAATGGTATACTCAGAAATTGGATCATTTTAATCCAGCTGATAGTAGAACATGGCAACAGGTAGATCTGTATGTAATGACTGAAAGATAAAAATATTAAATCAAATTCTTTTTTTTTGTTTATAATAGAGATATTTTGTTAATGATAAATATTTTAAAACAAATGGTCCTATTTTTTTGATGATTGGTGGTGAGGGATCAGCTGATCCCATATGGATGGTTGAAGGACAATGGATCAAGTATGCTGAAGAACACCAGGCATTATGTGTCATGTTAGAACATCGATTCTACGGTAAAAGTCATCCAACTGAAGATCTTAGTGTTTCGAATTTACAATATTTGTCGAGTGAACAAGCTCTTGCTGATTTGGCAACATTTCATCAATATATTGTTGAAAAACATATGTTGTCAAATAAAAATCGATGGATATCAATCGGTGGATCATATCCAGGTAGTTCAAATAAAATATAAGATAATTTTATACCAATAGAAGATAATTTTTATAATATATTTTTCTTTATTTGAGGATCATTATCGGCATGGTTTCGTCTAAAATATCCTCATCTTGTTTATGGTGCTCTTGCAGGTATGTTTATATACAAAAATCACGATTCTAGTTTATATTCAGTATAATTTACTTAACTTCTTGTTTTGTTAAGCAAGTGCTCCAATGTGGGGTTTAGTTGATTTTCAAGGTAAAGAATATCATATCACTTGGTGTCAATGTTCAATTAAATAATTTTTTACTAATCATTTTCTAGACTATTTGGTTGTTGTTCGCGATTCACTTTCATCATACAGTGAAAAATGTAACGGTGCCATTAACGAGGCAATAAATGTTATTCAGGACATGGTGAAATCACAGACTGGACGAGATACTTTAAAGAAAGTTTTTCGGTATGAAGAAAACTCTTTTTTTGTTTATTATTTATCAATTAAAAATCTTGTGCTAGACTATGTGATGCAATTGAAACTCAAGATGATGTTGATAATTTTTTTGAAGCAGTGGCAGGAAATTTCGAAGGTGTTGTTCAATATAATAACGATAATCGAGCGTTTGAGGTTTGTAATTGTTATTCATTTCGAATCTTTTATATAAATATGAACTATTAGTTTATTGTACGATTGTATCTGCTGGAGTCCTGCTGTTATAACGTGTCACTACCCTAACGTTGTTCACTTAAATTTTAGCGAAAACCGACTTTACTAAGATTCATAGAATATATAAATAATGAACTAATTATTTCTTTTTTTCTGTAAGGGAGCATTAGGTACAAATATAACCATCAAAGTTGTTTGTGATACAATGCTAGATTCAACACTACCAGATCCATTTTCACGAATTGTTAAAGTAAATGATATTCTGATGGCAGTTTATAATCAATCATGTTTGGATGCCGGATATCAGAGTATGATTTCACAATTGTCAAAAACATCTTGGAATGATTCAGCGTCCGAAGGAGGTAAATAACTAGTCGCTTATCTTAACTTTAATTAGTATTTGAAATGTTTAGGACGACAATGGACATATCAAACATGTGTTGAGTTCGGATTTTTTCAGTCGTCTAATAGTACCATGCAACCATTTGGCAATAATTTTCCAGCTTCGTAAGTGTTGAAAATGTTGATCGAAAGAAATGAAATTTAGAAGTAAAACTTTTTCTTAATTAGATTTTTTGTTAAACAATGTGCAGATATATTTGGAGCAACGTTCAGCGCAGATCTACTCACGAATGGTATTGCATTTACAAATTCTTATTATGGTGGTGAAATGTTTCAGGGATCAAGAGTTTTGTTTATCAATGGTGCTATTGATCCATGGCACGCACTAAGTTTTACATCATCGCCGCCGAATAATAACAGTTTTATTTTTATGTCAAGTAAGAAACTATGAATAGTTATTTCTTATTTAATATGAATATGTTCTATTATTGCTTTATTCTTGTAGCCACTGCGCATTGTGCGGATATGTATCCTGATTCAGATTCGGATCCCCAAGAGTTAACTGATGCCCGAAAAAAAATAAGTTCTACAATCGGTGAATGGCTACAGTGAAATTTTTTAGTAAAGATTGTATTTGTCTTTCATAATAGATAATTTTTACGTTAAAAACTTGTATTGTTTCGTGTTTTTTTTATTACACTTTTTGTTACATATATTTTTGAATATCATGAAACAAACACTTCTCAAATCGATTAGATTTTGAAATGAATAAAAAAATTTCATTCTCTCTTAGTAATGATCATGGACTGTGGTATGGTTTTCGAACATCAGTATGCTAAGTCAATCGGATAGAAAGATTTCTGAATTTTATTTTTTTGGAATAAGTTCTAATGTTTTGAAGAATGAAGAATCTATATCTCAATTACATCAATCAATTGCTCGCTTTCTTTTTGTAATTAATCCTTTGTTTTCCCTTTTTATTTGTTGATTGTCTACGTTCCATTTCACTTTTTATATAACATCGCTACACATTTATCGATTCTGATTTACGTGCTTTTTATTCAGCACATACACACGTTCAGTTATATATGTAAAGATATGAAGTAAAGAAAACAAAACACAAAATCCGCAAAAAAAGAGAAAAGAATATAAGTAATAATAAACCAAAGAAACCATATAAAAAAACAGAAAACTTATCAAAAAACATGTACACACATATCTGTATATTTATAACCTTTCTATTACGACTAATACGAGAAGAGAAGAAATGAATGTGTTTATGTATGGAAGGTATAATAGAGCAAAAAAAAACAAAGAGAGAGAGAGGGAGAGAGAGAGAGAGAAAGAGAAAGAGAGAGAGAGAGAAAGAGAGAGAGAGAGAAAAATGTGTTTTTAACACATAACACAAAGAACAATTACAAGAAAATGTGATAACGACTAATGATGCAAAACAAAAAATGATGGTGACAGACTCAATAGAAAACAATAAGCTCAAATTAGAAAGCTTACCTAATGAACATTCACCGGTGGGTAACAATAGGTGTCCTATATGAGTACTTGAGTTACAATGATCAGTTTCTTTCGAAAATCTTTCATTCATTATCGATATAAAAAGAGAGTTGTATGAATTTTCTAGACATAACAAACAAAGATGTAACTGATGTGTCCTATATCTAGTTTATACCGAAAGAAATGTGTGTGTGTTTAAATAATTTTCACGTTGATATATAAATAGAAAAATGAATGAGATGGCCTAAAAACAAATAAGCATGGGGAGAATACACACACACACACACACACACTCACACACACGCAAAACATAAGACAGACTACAACAAACAAACAAACTTTGTACAATGCTATACGTAAAATAATAATCACCGAGACTAATTATACAAAATTCTGTCCATTATGAAAACCATGTTGGGATGGTGGTGGTTGACCTTGGGATGAACGAGAATAATCTAAAATTGCTGCTGTTGTTGAAACACCGAGATTCGTTGTTTTTGACGAAGATGGTGATATTCGAGTCATTGACGTTGTCGTCAGTTTTGTTGTTGGATTAAGAATATTTTCATTGGGTGAATCTTTTAACGATGTTTGTTCACGGCCGTATGAATTTAGAAAATCTTCAATCATTGCTGATTGAAATTCGGCAAGCATTGTTGACGGAAAAGATGGAGATGATAAATGTTTTACACTAGTATTATTATAGTTAGGTGACTGAAAACTAGTCGATCCAATATTCACAGGATTTGGTAAATCATGTTGGTTGGACAATCGTGAATCTGGTCTTTTTGAAGAATTTGTGGATATAGATGATGTTATAGACGATGAACTGATATTTGTTGTGGGTGGAATATGTGTTCGTCTTCCATCAAGAATATTATGTGTAGCAGATGTTTTTAAATTGTTTGATGAATCAACATTGGTATGAGATATTGGACGATTTGCTTTATTGTTATTACTGTTCGAACTAGAAGAAGAATATAATAAAATTAAACTGTTTTTGATACAAAAAACTCTTCTATTTTTATATAGTGTCTTAATTGTTTCTAGCACAGAGTTCTTCACTAATGTCGCCTGAGCATGCTTGAGACTATTCCTTACAATTAGCCTTTATTAGTTATTTTAAAGTATGCTTACCGATTAGGTGTATTTGGTCGGGTTTTCTTTCCAACTGAATCCATTGTATCACTGATAGATAATAGTTGTTGGTGTTTTGATGTATGAGCCAAATGGCCATTGCTATTGTTATCGTTAATTGATTTATTATTTTTTTCTGATTGTTGTAAAACTGCTTGTTGTTGCAGGACAGCTGCTGTTGTCATTTGTGGATACCATTGCATAGCAAGCATATTGTTAATAAATGCTGCAGCGGCAAATGCTTCCATACCTTTGTTTGGATCAACGTTACCTGTTTGTTCATTCCATCGGTACTGAGTGTCTTTATTTGATTCACCTGCTAGAGAAGTTGATTTCATAATTGCCCCATTCTGTTGTTGTTGATGAGAAGATGAAGTATAAAATGGTGGTTGAATGACAAGTGATGGATGTTTTGGTGTTTCATTAATTATATTTTCTTCATCGACTGATTTAATGAGTGGCGGCGTTGTTTTTGATGACATCGTCTGTGCTAATAAATTTGTTGTTACAGAATTATTTAACATGTTGTTGTTATTTCTCTTCATATCGTCAGTGTTTTCATTATCATTTTCATCTGATATATCTGAAATTTTTAAAAGTTACGTTTAGCAGATGGTATTTTTTAAAATACAATAAACACCATCACAAAAAGATAAGAATAAGAAAAAGAGAAAATGAACTCCGCTCCAAGATATTTCACAGCAAGAGAGACGATTCTATTTATAACTTCTAATGTACGTACCTGAATAAGCTGGTGAAGATGGTGTTGGATATTGTAATTGTTGTTTCGATTGTTGCTGTGATACTGTTTGTGTAGATGATAAATTCAATGGATTAGATGTTGGATGAATAGACGATGATACAGAGGAACAAGATGATGAATTCGATGATGTTGTGGTCATCAATGGTGATGTTGGTCCAAATAATGTCGGGTTCATTTTAGCATGATTATTATTTATCGATATGGTTGAATGTTGTTCATCTCTTAATTTTCGTTTTTTCTTACGTTCTTTGACATTCGTCGATGTTGTCCATAATGAATTATTATTAATAATATTCTGATAAATAGAACTTGAAGATGGTTTTGTTTCTGTAAATAAATATGGAGCATTTACATTGTTTAGAGAACGTGGTGATAAATACTGTTGTTGTGATGGAGAGACAAGTGCTGCTGATCCATTATTTAATAATTTATTGTGTAGAGGAGAAAGTGTTGCAGGTGATGGAGATGGTCTTGGTTGTTGTAATGTTGTTACCGTTAATGGATTATATTCTTCATCTTTAATTGGTAGTAGTACATGATCAGCGTATTTCAATGTATTAGTTTTGATTGATTTTTCACATTCAGATAACTTATTATGACTGTTTTCAGACAATGATAAATAAGATGTTGTGGGAAAAATTGGTTTGGGCATGGGAGGTGAAATAAGTGATACTTTATGATAGTTTTCTTGTTTTGAATTTGATGTTTGATTAATATCTTCTAAAGTCACTTTTGGTGGATAAATAGTAGCAGCTGTTGTTATTTGTTGCGTCTGTAGTTCATTAAGAAATAATGGTGATTTTTGTGAATTTATTAATCGATTATTATCAGTTTTTAGTGATGTTGTATGCTCATTATATCTAAAATGTAAAATATAGTTTGTATTAAGTGGTGCAACTTTAATACATTTTTTTTCTTCTAGAAATCTATTCTCTAACCAACTACCAACGAAAGACTCCGTAAAGCGTCGAGAAATCAAACTATCTTTTGTTCTTTCTCGAACACTACAGCGAATTTGACAAAAAAA